GAGATGTTGCTTTCATCATGACAGACAGTCAGGATAAGGAGGAGGAGGAGGAGGAAGATAATCATTTCCACCTTTCCTGGGACACAGTATTTATAGAATAGTATATGCCAGTATTTACACGCCAAATTTTATAGACTGATTAAAGATCCTGCAGGTCAAAAAGATTTCCTTAATCTTGCAAAGTTGTAAATTATATTCTCAGTCTTGATTCTCCACCCTGGAGGCAAAAGCAGACTCTCCTGAAACTGCACTCACAGCAGCTGGGGTGAAAAGGGAAGGAGCCCGGGCCATATGGGTGGCTGTTCCTCTGAATTTACACAGAAGATGTGCACCACCCTGGAAGAGAAGAACTGCCTTCCTTCGCCTCACCATGGGCATCACGCCTAGGCAACTGAAGGCTGAAGAAAGGAGATTTCACAGGAAAGAAGAACTCGGAATGGACAATCATCAGAACTAGCCAGATTTAAGAACTTTAAATGGCAACAAGGAGCCTCATGAATCACAACAAACAAACCATACAGTGAAGGCCCTTTTGGTGTGTCAGCTTCAGAAAGCTAAAGTCCCCAGTGACTCAATCAAATGCTGATCTAAGTGTTAAGGTGAAGGTATTTTACAGATATGATTAAAATCCACATTCTGTAGACTTTTAGCAGAGGAGATGATCCTAGATAATGAGCGGGCCTGATTTGCTCGGTTGAAAGGCCTTAAAAGCAGAGCTGAGATGTCCCAAAGAGTACGAAATTCAGCCTGTGGAAGCAACTTCACCGGGCCGAGAATTCCAGCCTCTCCTCCCCTTCCTGACAGGCTGCCCTGTGGATTTTGGACTTGCTTAGCCATTCCCACAATCATGTAAGCCAATTCCTTGCAATAAATCTCTTAAAATATATCTCCCACTGGTTCTGCTTCTCTGGTAGAACCTTACCTAATACAGATACTTAGAAAACCGATAGGAATACGATATGGTGAAAACTAAAGAAATGCCAGGAGGCCAACATAATCATCCTGTCATTCTCAACCATTAGTGTCTCAAAGAGGCTCAACCATGAGAACTGTGATGAAAGTATAAGGGTTCCTTACCGGGCCAGGGGGGGATGGTGCCAATGGTGGGGCTTTAAGGGATCCACAACTTCCTAAAATTACACGTAAAATATTTTGGAGTGTCTAGAGTTTAAGAACCACTGTTTTAATTGAGTGTATTAAATTCCTGGCACACCTCTGAAAACCAAAAACAGAACCTCTGGCAGGCAAATGCAGGAGGATCACTTGAGCTCAGGAATTCAAGACCAGCCTGAGCAAGAGCAAGACTCCATCTCTACAAAAAACAGAAAAATTATCTGGGCATGGTGGTACATGCCTGCAGTCCCACCTATTCAGGAAGCTGAGGCAGAAGGATCACTGGAGCCCAGGAGTTTGAGGTTCTTGTGAACTACGATGACACCACTGCACTGTAGCCAGGTGACAAAGCAAGACTCTTTGTCTCCAAAAAAAATAAAACAGAACCAAAGAAGATATCCAGATTCAACCCAACTCATGTGGATATGGATTGTTTAGATCCACACACAATGTTTATGCGAATTTGCACTCACTCAGTGGGTACAATGGTTTGTGCACATTTGTACCAAGTTTTATAAGCATTCATCAGGAACTCAAAATAAGGTCAGGCATGGTGGCTCATGCCTGTAATCCCAGCACTTTGGGAGGCCAGATGTTCGAGACCAGCCTGGGCAACATAGGGAAACTCCGTCTCTACAAAACAAAATGAAACTAAAAAAAGTTAGCCAGGCGTGGTGGCTCGCACCTGTAGTCACCAGCTACTCAGAAGGCTAAGATGGGAAAAATCAATTGAGCCCAGAAGGTCGAAGTTCCTCTGAGCTCTGACAGAGCAAAAAAACTTGTCTCTTAAAAAAAAAAAAAAAAAACTCAAAATGCTTAACATTTGGCTAAGAACAAGTACAATATAACAACTATGTAAAATGCAGGCATCTATGTGTTTTCTAAACCATAAATCCATCCACAGTGCTCAAATTCATATTGGAACCTGCCTCTTTGTTGACATGGGCAGAAAACTAACTTGGTAAAAATTGTAGACACACTTTTGCCTTTGTGTAACATGGGTTTCACATGATTTTTTCCAAACAGAATCTAAAGCAGGAGTTCTCAGAGGGTTTTGATCTGTGAACTGGCTTCTGCCAGGAGACTCCGTGCTGCCTGTCACTTGCCACTGCCACAAATGTCACCAGGAGAAGAGTATGGTGATGAGAGGGCACTGTGGTGAGCTCCAGCTTTTATTACTAAAACTCTTAGTAATAAATTATGAAACCAAATACATTTCAGAAACCAAAGCTCAGATATTGACACATCAAAAATAAAAGCTACAAGAGACCAATCCCTGAATAACTTGAAGGCAATTCGAGCTTGCACTTTGGAGAACCATTAGTCTGAAACTCTGAGGGCCCTTTTTGCCTCAGAAAAACAAAAGCTGTGCTGCCCAAGCCTGAGAGCAACCATACAGCTGTTATGCAGGGTGGGTTGGAAGTCTCTGTGTATGTATGTTGATATGGATAAATGTAGATTATTCATTCATAAGCTAATTGCAATAAATAACCAACTTCCTCCCCCAAGAGCTCAACCTCCATTATCAACAGAAAAAAAATAAGATTAAAGAAGAGATAAATTAATGTCATCTGAATGGATAATAAACAAAGATATAACTTTAAAAAAAAATCTGGCACTACCCACAATGTAAATCCCTTAATTAGTCTTAGAAAGACACTAATCTGCAGGAAATATTTTAGGACTGGCTCAGCTTAGAAGCAGCAAGATGGCTATAGATCTCTCTGTACAGATCTAGTCCACCCTTAATTATTTGTTACAAACAGTTTTTACTATCCACTAGGATATTTTAATACGTAAAAAATTGTGCTAGTATTCTGGAGTATATAATCAGTTTTTGGCATACAGTTTTATAATGGCTTAGAGCCATATCAACAGAGAAATGATACTTACTTTGCCGTGACGGTACCATTTAAATTCTTAGAATTCATAGAACAATATAATGGTGTCTGCAAAGCCACTTCAAATTTTGGTAATACTAGAAAAGAAAAGCAAGGGTAAATCTTTTAAAGAAGATTTCATTATCATATTCCACTGAATAAAATAAAAAATAGAATTGTTCTGAAGCAATTGATAATTACCATTTAAACTTAAATTCATTAGGATCCAAATACATGTTGCACAGATGGGAAGCCCTTTGTTTCACCCAAAATTAGAAATCCCTACTTTGGGCAGTTTTATATAATTAAGATATGAAATATTTTATAAATACTAATACTATATTTGACATGAAGCACTCCAGCAGAGTAAAAAAAAGTCATGTTTCTTTCCAGTCTATAGAACTTTATTTTCCTATAACTTCACTGACCAAGGAAATTAGATTAAAATCTCATAACAAGGCACCTCATCATTCAATTAACACAACAGAAGTATCAAAAAAGGCCAATGGATCAATAATACAGGGCAGACCTCCAGTTCCAAGCAAGACTAAAGGTCCTTAATGTACCAAGACACTCCTGGACTCTAGACCAGCAGGATAGGAAGGCCAAAAAAGTCACATGGGCCAACTATGATCCCCCAGCAAGGAGATTCAAAGCCCCTTCCTCAAACATCATAGATTGGCAATTAATTCCCCACCTCCGCTATACCCCATTCCGCAACATACAACCACCCAGCACCACCACAATGTGATAGACTAAAGAAAATAGTCTATAAACATGTTGGTCCCCTATAATTTATTCTTCTAGATTAAGGTTGTCCAAACGAAATAAAATGCCAGCCACATGTATAACTTTTTATTTCTAGTAGTCACATTTAAAAAGTAAAAAGACCAGGCATGGTGGCTCATGTCTGTAATCCTAACACTTTAGGAAGCCAAGGTGAGAGGATTGCTTGAAGCCAGGAGTTTGAGACCAGCCTGAGCAACATAGCAAGATCTCCTCTCTACAAAAAATTTGAAAATTAGCCAGGCATGGTGGTGCATGCCTGTAGTCCCAGGTACTTGGGAGGCTGAGGCAGGAGGATTGCTTGAGCCCAGGAGTTTGAGGTTGCAGTGGTGAGCTATGATGACACCACTGCACTCTAGCCAGGCAATGGAGCAGGACCTTGTTTCAAAAAAAAAAAGTAAAAAGAAGCAGATGAAATTAATTTTTGCAATATTTTACTTAACCCCATATATCTAAAATATTATCACTTCAACATGTAATCAAAATAAAAAATTATTATTAATAAACTAAGTTTCTTTCTTTTTTCTTATACTAAATCTTCAAAATCTGGTGTCTCCACTTGGATTAGCCACATATCAAGTGCTCAGTAACCACACATGGCAAGTGGCCCCCTACTGGACTGCACAGTTCCAGATCAGGGCTCAGCAAACTATGATGAGCATGAGCTAAGAATGGTTTTTACAATTTTTAATTGGTTGAATAAAATCAAAAGAAGAATAATATTTCATGATACATGAAAATTATATGAAATTCAAATTTCCATGTCCATAAAATAAAGTTTATTGCAACATGGCAACATTCACATACTTATTATCCATGGCTGCTCTCCTGTTACAAAGGCAAAGTTGAGTACTTATGGAAGAGATCGATGGCCCACGGAACCTAAAATTACTATTTGGCCCATTACAGGAAAACACTTTGCTTATCCCTATTCTAGGTGATCATGAGCCTCAGATCTGACAAGACTATATGACACGCGTGAGACTGAGCCACAAAGGCGTAAGGACACTATTAATACTTTCCAGAATTCCTGTTGCCTAACTGAAATGCAATCTCAAAAACTGGCACAAATCAAATGAAAAAGCATGTGTGTGACCTCAAAATAACTACTCAAATTATAAACTAATACAGAGATCCAATGCTTTCCTTTCATCTTTCCTTCCTTTCCATCCACCAACAAAATAGGTGGGTCCCACTGTTTTCATCTATGGGTTTCTAACTGCGATATTATCAGCTTAGCACCTGAAAAAAGAGGATTTACCTGAGTTAAGCAGACTGTCCTTACCAACGCCAACCAAATGAAAAATATGAAAAATAATTTATGTTGGGTTTTTTAAGTGCAAAATTTTAATATTTTATGATCACAACAAAGTAGAAAAACAGAAAAACTGTGCATAAGAAAAAGACTAGCATAATGGGACTATAGGTGATATTCTTCCTACTTTTTTCTTTATAATGAGATTTTAAAGCTTTTACAAAGGAAAAAGTATGTTTAGGCCTGCAAGGAACACCAGGATTTTACTCCATTGGAATTTTTACTTCACATAATACATATTTTGAAAACTTTTATTATCTCTGTGGAAAATAATAAATGTTTTATTCTTTCAAAATAAATTGAGGAACTCTTACCATATTCTGATACCTGAAATGACTGATAATATGTCTGGTCCTATTGGACGGAAGGGGAAAAAAAAAAACAAGAAAATATATGAGTTCTTATTTAATTATTTTGCTTGCTTACTTACCTGCATAAAAAAGATTTAGAAAATTAATTTTTAAATTACATTTATAATGATTTAATGAACAAAACAGTTTATTTTAATTTATGGAAGTTTAGTTTTAGTCAACTGCAACCTGAAGCCTGTGAGATTTCATGAGTTTTTAAAGGTGACCTGTCTCTATAATTCATTGCAAGTCATTTAAACAAACTGCTTAATCTGACTTCCATCATTTGTGAAATGAGAACTAGATTAAATAACTTAGGAATTCATGAAGCAAGGATAACATATGTCAAACTGATAAGAAATAACTTCAGACATGTTTTGGGTATTATAATCAAAAAACCAACAGAAAAAAATGAAGTTACACACAACTCAAATATTTGTAAATAATCAAGGATACAAAATCTTCATAGGTCAACATCCTCCAGCATTCCAATTCCTTGAATTATTTTCTAGTATAACTCTTAAATCAATACATCCTACCCATTTTATCAGATACTGTTAATTATTTCCTTTCCTAAGAACTAGAAAATATGTGGCATATTAGTGTATCATTTTTCTAACGCCTCATATTTCTAACTGTCCATTCTAAATCAAGGTAACACATTAAATAGAACCTCTTCATCTGGTTCTACTTGAGAGTTGGAAAGATAAATTTTTTAAAATAATAAATAAATAAAACCTCTCCAAAACAGCTAAGTAATTTCACTAATGAAATTTGTATTCTAAATTTGATTCCCTAAATTTATCAAAGCAAACACAGAGATTGCAGCTATAAAATATTAGCTTTTCTTTAAAAGCACTCTTGGTTAATCTAAAGCACCAAGAAGTTATTTTTTAATCCTAAAGGAAGACTATAGGTCACTTAAAAATATAAAAAAATGTAACTATTTACATGCTAATAAAAAAAAAACATCTAAAACTTGGCTTCAATGTTGTCATTTAAAAAAGATCTCAAAGAAATTGTGTTGTTCTGATCAAAGTCTTAAGAATATTCACATTTGTGACTTCTATCTTAAATTGTTTTCATGTCATATATAGTAATTATAAATTACATGTACTTGATTCATTTATAAGTTCTAAACTGTCATCCTCAGAAAATCAAGTCAAGAAGGTAATTTGCCTGTATTGCCTGTTTTACTGATAAACATAAGAATGCAAGTCTTTAAATAAGTTTTTGCTTTATTACTGAGGCCAGCACAGGCAAGACTGAGGAATAAGTAACAATGATGATGTCTCGGTTTGTCAAGTTTAATTCGTATAGCAAACATTAATTGAGTAAGTACTATGTGCAAAACACCATATGAGACTCTATAAAGATAAATTACAGTCCTCAGCATCAGAGGGTCTAGCGGTAGAGAGAGACATAGTCGAGAGCCATAATTCAAATTGCTAGTGTTCTGGGGTTTCATGCACAGTGCTGTGGCTCTTCCTCTTCCCTATTCTTGACTCACATTCTTCCATCCCTACCCAAATATTACTGCTTCCCTGAATCCCCAATCTAAAACAACATCTCTGCCCTCTAAGCCTACTTCTTCCTTCTCTGTCACTTTTCACCTTGTATCATAAACATTTACAGATACCGCTTATCTTGCTGCAAGTTCTTTGAGGGCCAAGTCCACACTGGATCATTTTTGTATCCCTCATAGTTTATCCCACAGGGTGACAACCTACCTTAGTGCCTGGTACAAAACAAATGCTCCATAAATATGTACCAAATTAAATAAAAATTACTACGTTTTACAAATTAGAAAATTTGTAGAAAATTAACTCATGGGGCTTACTTTAATCAACAGCCTTGAAACCAAGTTTTAGGTAATTACGTGTATAACACGTATGTAGTGACATTAGATTATACTTGAAATGAATTCCATCTCCCCTCCTGCCTCCTACATTACCAATCATCCCTTGATCAGTCCTGGATTTCCCCCAACGTCCCATTGACTGTCTCCTTCCCCTCAGTAAATGTTCTCAAGTCTTTTGTCCCTTGGTACTCCTAAATACCTTTCTGATTCCTTCCTCGTTTCTTTCACGTCTCTCTCTTTCCAACCCTTTCCCATCCTGAGCCCAAGGCTCTCCCCACTCCCCAGATTCTCATCAACTCTCATATTTTAACTGCCATGTCTACACTTCAGTGTAGAAACACCAAAATCACCAACTCTAGCCCACACCTCAACCCAGAGATTGAGACTCAAATATACCTGCTGGACATCTCTACCTGAATGTCCTACAGAATGTTCTGGATTTATTTACCTAGATTTAGCCTCTTTCAAGTAGCCCTTCTTGATTACCTCTCCCTATGTTGGGTTAGATGCCCCTTCTCTCCCATAATATTCTATGGATAACTCAGTCATTTTATTTAACACAATATACTATAATTATCTTCCTTGTGTCCAACTCTTCTAGGATATTATGAAATCCTTCAGAGCACAGCACCTAAATCGGTATGTCTTCAGTGTCTGTTGAATAAAGTTATGTATTAATATAAATGAATAAACGAATCGAGCCCTGTCCCAGGCTGGTTGTTGTTGGTGCTCATCAGATCAGTCCCAGTTACCAGACAGTATCTTCTGCAAGACATTAAAATCACCTTCTCTTGAGAAGGATCAAACTACCCTGAGAAGGCAAATGAGCCACAGAGCAACCTTAACTCTCTGTCCTTTATCTGGAAGGAACGTTTATGCCAAGGAGGAAGAGGCCAGCCATCACGGAAAACTAGAGAAAGAGAAGACGGAAAATGCTTCTTTTCACTGTCATTTTAAATTGCTCCAGCCAGGCACAGTGGCTCATGCCTGTAATCCTAGCGCTCTGGCAGGCCGAGGCGGACGGATCGTTTGAGCTCAGGAATTCAAAAGCAGCCTGAGCAAGAGCTGGTCAGGTAGAGACCCTGTCTCTATCAAAAAATAGAAAGAAATTAGCTAAATTAGCTAAAGAAATCAACTAAAAATATATAGAAAAAATTAGGCGGGCATGGTGGTGCATGCTGTAGTCCCAGCTACTCAGGAGGCTGAGGCAGGAGGATCGCTTGAGCCCAGGAGTTTGAGGTTGCTGTCACCTAGGCTGACGCCACGGCACTCTAGCCCAGGCAGCAGAGTGAGGCTGTGTCTCAAAAAAAATAAAAAAATAAAAATAAATAAATTGTTCCAATAAATCAAAAACTAATTTTGTAACTGAGTGCTGATCATGTGCTTTGCACCACACAAAGTCTTCCCAGGATGTTTATAAGTGGTAAAATGCAAACCAAGAAATAAATTATTTTACTGTCCAAGGGATTTGAAAAACAGAAGTTCTGTAACTTTCAACATATTATCCATTAGACAAACAGGTCATACCAATTTTCACAATGAGTTTAGTTATTTTTACAAAATATATAATCAAGTACAGAAGATACTGAAATATTTAAAATTAATAATAATTCAGAGAATTAGTGGACATTTATGCCATAAATAACCACAAAAACACTGATACTGAGTACTCTCATAAATCTAGAAGAGGGATCAGCAAATTTTTCCTGAAAACGGCTGGATATTAAATATTTTAGGCTTTGTAGGCCATATGGTCTCTGTCAGAACTATTCAACAATGCCCTTACAGTGCAAACGCAGCCAGAGACACTGTGTAAACAAATGAGCGTGACTATGTTCCAATAAAGCCTTATTTACAAAAATAGGTGTCAGATTGGATTTGGTCTTTCAGCCAGGGTTTGCTGACACGTGGTCTAAAAAAGAAATAAAATTTATTTTCAAATTGTTCTATGTTAGTTCTAGCTGAACTAAACTAAACTTAACTAAAAACATGGAGCAAAAAAACCCTGGGCCTTTTGTAGAAAGTAAAAGTTTCTTTTACTAAACAATTTTCCTTCGGTTTCAAAACAACTTAATTTGCTTCAAAATGAGTTTTTATGTTAATTGTAGCTCATCAAATATGGTTTATGCCGACTCATTCTGCCAATAACCGGGAAGAAAGACTAGCCTGAAGGCTTAAATACTTGGGCTGCGTGTCTTCTAAGCAAACACCTTCCCAGGCAAGAGAAGGCATAACTCATCAATGTCTTCTGAGCTCTTTTTTCCCCAATATGGTCACTGTTCCATGGGGGAAGCTCTCCCTTGGAAAACCTGCTCTGAAGCACATATATTCACTCTCTGTACTGTATGTAAGCCTGCCTTGATTACATTTTCTAAACAATTTCTAAAGCAGAGGTAGAAAACAAGACTCAGTAGGCATTCTCAGTAATCTCTAATTTCTCTAACTCCTATCCCTAAGTCAATAATTCACTGTGAGGGTGTATGTTATGGAAACCAGTCAAATTAAGGGGCAAGAGAGAAAACATTATTTTTACTGCCCTTTTAGGTAGTATGCAATGACCAGAGTACAAGTTGGACATGTGAATTACTAAAACCATGTTTTCCAGTCACAGAACTTTCCTTCTCTAACCATGAAGCCATCCAGCTTTTGAGTTTGTATTTTAACAAATTTGAAGGAATATGGTACACTATATGACCACTAAAAAAATATATTTTAAAATGCAGGTCGGTTTCTTTCAACTCTTGCTTCCGAAGTAAAAAGAAATGCCAGAAACAGAACTAAGGTTCTGGGAGGATTGTTTCTGTTAGTACATTTATGTTCGTTTATGATCATTTCGATTTTCTAATAGTTTGCTTTAGGACTGATTGCCAGTATCTGGATTTACTTTTATTTAAAGGTTAAGAAAGCCATTGAATTTTTTAAATGTGCACATCACAGGATGTTAAAATGGAGCTATCTCTGACTCTGTTTTGGCTTTGGCCTCCAAGACAATACATGCCAACTGTCTACATTCCAAAGTGAGGTGCAAGACTACCTTGCAGGTCTTGCAAAGCAGGTTTCCAAAAACCGGTTTTGCAACTCTTAACCCCTCACCTAGGGGGAGGGCATAAAAGAGTCAAGATGAAATTCAACTAGAAGAGAAT